TCTATTAACGACGTCGTTCAGAGTTACTGAATAGGCCCCTTAATTTCTCTCGTTTTCAAGCATACGCACCCTGGGGACCTATTTTCAAACCGTGTGAGTACTCATTTCTCTGAAGATTCTCATCAGAAATGTCATACGTCAATGTGGAAACGCTGTTTTTAAAGGCCTCGAGGATTAAAATTCTTAGGAGAATTTTAATTATCTCCAGTGTGAACTCACTGACTGTTTCTCTCGGTTTATTTAGAGATAATTAAAATTCCCCTAAGAATTTTAATCCTCGATGTGAATTCTCAAACGCAGCAATAGAATCTATTTTTTATGTATAGTTCATTTTAAGTTGACTAAAATTTCTATTACATTTTCTTGAAATTTATTACAATTTTGAGAGTTCATCTATTACATTCCTTCAGGGTACTCTAGGCGAGTTCGGTCAGTCAGGGGCTGGAGCGGGACAAATTTTTAAATGACATTTAAGCGTGTTAAACTGTCACTAATCGGACTAAACCTAACGCTAAAAGGGTCGTTTGGAGTTAAAAGTGTTAAAGGAACTTGGCAGACCGAACGCAATGTCTGTAGGCGAGTATTCGATCATGTATTAGGATAGATACGCCTTACCTGTGGAAGTAATGGGTTTAATGATTATCTAGACGGGGAGAGAGGAAAGGTATACAAACGGAGAACTTAGCAGTGCCGTACCGTATGGAAGGGGTTATATATTGTTAATTACTATAAAATGTTAGATGAAAGCGGATGGACATGATTTTAAAAATATTGTTTTATAGCGTATATTTTTAACTTTCAATGTAAGAATAGTTTTTCACAGTATTGTGATACTACATAGACCATGCACAGGCTTGTCATATTGTATATTATTTACTCAATTTTATAGGATTATTTATTTTGTACTTTAAACAATTTATATACATTTTGAGTAAATATACCTACTATAAAGCTTGACTGATAAAGGAGAAAAGAAAATAAAAAAATATTGTGAAGAACCCGTTTTATATGTAAAGCAAGAATATTATACATATTTCTGACTACATACCTTCCTTTATGAAATAAAATAAAGACCAATTAAAGCATTTTATTTATCAACCAAAAATAGTTATACACAAATAATAATAATACTCTCCCTAATTACGGAGATTAATGAACTTTATTATTTACAAAGTACTCTAACAAAATTTTGCCGTACACAAGTTAGAGGGAACAGAAGAAATAATGGCATTGTGTTTGTTCTCTATTTTAACAATTCTGACAATGCATGAAGTGGTGTGACTAATTTAAAATGGGTAGCGTCGATTGACATTTTCTGATATTTTTAAATACCTATAATAAGAATCCCTTATTTAAAATGGTTTTATTTGGATAGATGGCTATTTTTTAAAAATTTAAATGCAAATAAAAACCTACAATAAATAGGTACATATTATATATAATTAAAAATAAGCGTCAAGATTTATTTTCATTTTTTTTTAAATAATATTTAAAGTAATTCATTCGCAAGACGACTTTTCTTAAGAGTTCAATAAAATTAAAATATAAGGTTAAAGAAAATGTCTTTTACGTACCTAACAAAAAAAAATTTTTTTTTGACCGTCTGTGAAACGAGATATTAACAATGAAATTGTGCATAATTAACAGTCTTAAAGCCTGTCATGTACATTAGTAATGCATTTATTTCAAGATATTTCGAAAACAGTTCTTAATATATTTTTTTAAAAACTAATATAATGTAAATCAGAAAGTTATACAATTTTCTAAAAAACCGTTGAATTTTTTGACCGTTTTGGTAAAAAGATAGATTTTTAAAAGAAAACTATGTTTAAAGCAGTCGACGCGTAGTGGGGTACAACTGGATTACAACTTGGCAACATTGTTAGTTCAGAATCACTGAATTACACTCGAAGTGTTCTTGAAAAATTAATTTGTCTACTGTATTTGAGAACTGGAATCGACGCTTCTGTTTGAACCAAAACAAAACCTTAAAATTAATATGAGGAAGTCACAAAATGTCTATAGGTATACACTTGATATCGCACCATTCCTATATTTGTGACGTTGCCGGATGGATTTTACTTGAAATAATAACGTATCCGTACATAAGCTTACATGTGTTGTGTTCAGTATCTTACAAAAATAACATTTTTCAGCATTGAGAATCTCAAACTATTGGCGATATTTTTGTATACGACTGTCGCGCGTGAACTACCTTAATAATTACTACATGTAAACAACTCATTTTAAATTGGTCGGTATTAGATACCATAAGTATTTAGTATATTCACCTGCAGTAAAATTGTTTACAATTTAAAACCCATTGGTTATATTTAGGCAGTACCCCGTGCATATGGGATCATTATTATGTTCCTCCATAATCCAAGGGAGTTTATCGTTTTGATTATTTTGTCTTGAAATTGTATACTGATATTTCGAAAAAAGAGTCACTTCCATGGTTTTATGCAATATTCAACATTTTAATTGACAATTGGCAACGTTGTAACCATTTGCAATTATTATACAGGCTCCTTATGAGTGCGAATAATAAACAATATTTTCATATCAATTTGCTTCTAAATGCCCAATTAAACGAATACATGAATTTCTTAGAATACTGAAAACTTTTACGTAAAAATTATGATGCGATAGCAATTGTACAAAAAAGGTTTACCAAAATATGAGTGGTATGTCACGACGCTTCTGTCAAAAATAAGGGTAGCTTAGATATTAGATTTAAAAGGAGTTTGACATTATGTGTACGTGTCCACCGCGACCTTTTCAGATCTATTGTGGGACTCCGTTTGTTTTAGAGTTTGTCATCTAAGCTTGGACTTTTTTATTAGACTTATTTTCCTTGACAGTGGCATCCACATGCATGTAGTCACATATATGTCTGGCTTTTTTTCATCTAGTATAAGAAATCTCAATCTAGTTAGGCTTTCACATTAGTGCAGGACGTGAATTGATGTTTCCTTTTCTAATTCACAGAACCCGAATAAATTAAAAAAAAAAAGAATAAATTAGAAAATAATTTAATTTTGTAAAAGAAGTGAAAACTTACTTTTTAGAAGATAAAAATAAATAAATACCTTGGGAGATTCTACTTCTAGTACACACCAACTACGGTTGCTTATTACATTGTTCTTGCTTCTTTTTTGCAAAAAAAGTAAAATGTATACGTGTATTTGATACGCCAAAATTACAAAATATCGCCCTAAAGTGGTCGAATTATCTGCAGCTTGCGCTAGTATCGCTTTTGCTTCCCCTACCATAACTTCGCACTGAGCGAATATAATTATCATACGTTCACACATATACATTTTCTATACTACTTCCCTCAACGAAGTATGTACTAAAAAAAAATATGTTTTCAATAATGGGTTAATATAATCAAAAAGTTTACTTTGTGTTTATTAAACTACAATTGGGAGACAACAGTTCTAAGCTATTTTTGACAGTATTTTAGACCTCATCAATAACACTTTGTTTCAGAAACGAATTGTTTAACTAGGTGTAAGTAGACGTTTGCAATAAATACTTATAAATTACTTTTTACCTATATCAATACGAAAGTATGTATATAAAGACGCACTTGTTTACTTACTCTATTAACAAAACATTGGATTTCAAATAAAATGTTCGATTTTATTATAGCTAAATAAATCTTCATGTGAAAAGTGATCTGAACAAACTTTGGCATCTTTCAGTTTTGAGATCTTGCTCATTTATTTTCAAGTTGTTCAGCCACAATGACATTAGACAATGTCTCTCGGAAACGTGTAAAACGTATATACCATAAAATATCCAGTTTCTACTATTAGGTATTTTTATATCAAGAAATAAAAAAACCCTAGCACAGTTGTTACGCCCATGGATATTTACATTTCATGAGATTGATTTTGACATAACCTACCTGTAAAATAGCAAGCATTGGTTTTGGGTGTTTTTGGTCCAAAATGTTCGGAAAATTATGCATCTCTTTACTGCTTTGAAATGTATAATCACGTTTGTAAATAATTTCTTTCATATAAATAAATAAAACAAGAATATTTTACTAAAATAAAACACCGAATGACACTTTTAAAAACATACAGAAACAGGGTTGCCAAATGTCCAGTTAAAATGTAGTATTTAATGGTTAAACAGATGGATTGTAGTGAACAAAATCTAAAAACATCTAATTTAAACACCGATTCAATGCAGAAGAAAATTAAATGAGAAATTTTATGAATATGATTAAGATTCTTAAAGGAACTGTTAAATATTAAGCTCCATATTAAGTATTTCGAACCTTGAAACATTGGGAACTAATAATTATTATCCTTATACGTTTAACCGAAAGTGACACTGCGGCAACCTCTGCTGGTACCACAGTTTGTTGTGCATGCGATTGTGGACCTTATTATCATACGACAATTGTTTATGTAAACAAGGCGTATCTATTCCAATACATGATCGAATAGGCGAGTTCGGTCAGTCAGGGGCTGGAGCGGGACAAATTTTTAAATGACATTTAAGCGTGTTAAACTGTCACTAATCGGACTAAACCTAACGCTAACATTGCGTTCGGTCTGCCAAGTTCCTTTAACGCCTTTAACACTTTTAACTCCAAACGACCCTTTTACCGTTAGGTTTAGTCCGATTAGTGACAGTTTAACACGCTTAAATGTCATTTAAAAGCACCCTAAAATTTGTCCCGCTCCAGCCCCTGACTGACCGAACTCGCCTTTTAAGGGTCGTTTGGAGTTAAAAGTGTTAAAGGAGTTAAAGGAACTTGGCAGACCGAACGCAATGTGGAAACACTGGTCCTGACACTGACACCTGTTGTTGTTTGTTGTTTCTGGTTGTGTTACTGATGTGTTACTGTTGATATATGCAATATATAAAAGGTCTGTGGATATCTGTGTTGTAAACTAAACTTCTATTTTCTGATATGCGATATTTCTGTTAGTCTGAAGCCGGTTTGAGTTTGTTATAAAATATTTTTATTTTATACAATGAGTGAAAATATTGTTGAAAACACACATGTATCTCTAAAGTGGGCCAGAATGATTTCATTGATATCTAGTTTAGAATCGATAGGTAAGTTTTTTATAGTTTATGAGTAGATTAGCTTAATAATATGAAAAACCAATTATTCATAACTCGATTAATCATTCAACAGCCCTTATTATCATAGCATCTCGATATAAAAACTTATTGTGTTAAAGAATCGGTTAAAGAGTTTTTTTTCGCTTTCCACGTTTGATAAATAATCTTCATTACTGTATATTTTATATAGATGAATTAAACACTACACCTTATTTTAACACCTTATTTAAACAAAAAATATGTGTGCAAAACCTGCAAACAAAAAATAAAAAATAATCAAAGCAACAGCCCTCGGAAAACCCCAAGTGGAAGTAAAAATGGGGATAAGAAAAATTCTGCTTTAACTCTGGATGATCTAATGATAGTCCTACAAGCTATGAGAAGAGAAATGAGAGACTACAGAAAAGACCTCACTTACTCCGAGTGTTTTGAGGAGCAAAAAGTCAGAAATGGCTTAATAGATGAAGAGTTAATTAAACTTAAACAAGAGAATGAAACCATAAAGAATGAAATTAACAAGATCAAAACCTCTCTGGAGGCTAAAAACAATGAGAAACGAAAAAATAACTTAATTGTGGTGGGAATTAAGTATATAATGTGGAAGAGAATGGTACGTCATGGATTGAAAATGTCAAAAAGAAGGCCAAAAAAGCAATTCAATATGTAGCTCCCAATATAGATGAAGAAAATTGTAAAATAAAACTTACAAATTTTAAAACTTCAAACTCTCTCATACTAATCGAATTTAATACTATGGAAAACAAAAACAACTTTCTACAAGAAAGGAGAACAAAAGGTAAAATAAGCACAGAGCAATGTGGAATAGATGGAGAAGACACAAATATATATTTCAATGAAGACATGAACAAAGAACAGAAAATATACAATAAAGCAAGAGACTTGAATAAAGAAGGTTTTAAATTCATCTGGGCGAAGGCGGGAAATATATTTGTTAGAGAAAAAGAAGAAAGTAACATAATAAGAATTATGACAGAAGAAGATATAAATAAACTGAAAAAATGAAAAACATTTTTTACTATTATCTTCTATTTATTTTAGTTATAATCTTGTATTTTTTAGGTTATTAAAATGGATTGTAATAATCTTTTTGATGACTATCAAAATAAGATCGATGCAGATGTTTACGACCAGTTGAGTGATATGAAGGTTCTAGGTAATAACTTTTTAAACATTATCCTCTTGAATATTTCCAGATATTTATACCCATTTTGAGAACTTACAGGCATATCTGGAGACAGATAATAACTGTAAGTTCGATATTATCGTATTATCAGAAACAAACAAAATTTGTAACCTAAACCACTTCAAATTAAATGGTTTCGAAATATTCTATAATGAAAGTAGATTAAATAAATGTGACGGCAGCATAGTTTTAATAAAAAGTAGTCTTTTACCTAAATCTGAAATTTTTACTATAAATTTCTCAGTTTTTAAGAATCACTTTCACTAAAAATAAAACTAAAATTGGTTTAATTACTATTTATAACTCACCGTGTCTAAATAAATTAGACTTTGTAGATAACCTAAAGCTCCTCCTCAAAGAGAATTATACTAAATACCCAATTGAGATATTTTGTGGAGATATCAATATTCATATCCTGGATAACAAAATAACAAACTCTTCGAGTGAATATCTAAATTGTTTAAATCATCACGGATATATAAGTCAAATAAATACACCTACTAGATTTTCAGGAGAAACAAAAAGCTGTATTGATCACTTTTTTCTAAAAAATAACAACAGCATAATGACAAAATCTTATAAAGAGTGGGTTAACTGATCATTTCCCAATAGTGTTAAGTTTACAATTTGAATACACATGCATACAACTATCAAATCAGCCATTAAAAAAGAAGTCAATTGATCAAACTAAAGCCTCACACTCCCTAGAAAACTATAACTGGGATGACATTTTAAACTGTAATTATGTAGAGTTGTGCAGTAATAACTTTATTCAAATACTAATATCAATTATTGAAAATGCTACTACTTATAAATCTATTCCCCTAATAAAGAAGAAAAAGCCATGGACCACTCAAGGTATTATTAACTCTATAAAAAGTGGTGATAAACTAAAAAAGGATACCCTTCAAGATCCCCTAAATGAACTTGCTTTAAATAGATTTAGAACTTATAGAAACCATTTAACAAAATTAATAAAGATTTCAAAATATTCTTATTATAAAAACAAACTTAACAAAAACATAAATAACTTAAAAAAGGTATGGGACGTAGTACGGGAGGCCACAAACGATATAACACAAAAAAATCTGATGTGGCCAACACATGACTTTCCTATCTAGTTATTACAGGCTTTTTCCGTTTATTGTGTACAACCTATTGCAGCATCTCTATAAATGTTTAGAGGATAAACTAAATATATACATTGTCCACATACATCTACCGCGAAACATTTTTCTATAGATATTCATTGAAAATGAAAATACTGAAAAATTTAAATTTAGCACTTTTCCTACAATTTTTCCATTACGGTCCATTTAAAAAAAATCATGTATGAACAAATATTATAGAGATCGATATCGCAAACAACTTTTATTTCAACAATTTTCATAAAAATCAGAATTTTGCACATTTTGTCAAATTTCTCGAATACGGACCATTTCAGGAAATTTTTACATAAGGCAAAAATTATAGATAATAATATTAGAAGTAACTTTTATTTGAACAATTTTCTTCTCCAAACATAAATAACAGATATATTCCATAAAATATATAAACGGCCTCCCATAAAGTACCCCCCCCAGATGTTCCGACTTTGTCCAAAATCTAATCATTTCACGTCAGGCCGAAATAAAACTTAAGTTTAAAATTTATTGATTTTTTCTTTATCCGTTTTTGAGTTTTCTTCAAATTTCGAAATTTACACATTTTCTCAAATATCTCGAATACGGTCCATTTTAGAGAAATTATCTATGGGACAAAAATTATAGAGAATTATATTACAAACAACTTTTGTTTGAACAATTTTTATAAAAAAATATATTTTTTTACATTTTGTCAAATTTCTCGAATACGGACCATTTTAGGAAAATTTTGTAAATAACAAAAATTATAGATAATAAAATAAGAAGTAACTTTTATTTAAAAAATTTTCTTCCCCAAACGTAAGTAACAGATATATTCCATAAAATATAAAAATGACCACCTATAAAGTACCCCCCCAGATGTTCCGACTCTGCCCAAAATCTAATCAGCTCATTAGACGCTGGAATAAAGCTTAAGTTTGAAATTTGGTGTTTTTCCGTGTATCGGTTCATGAGTTATGCGTTATACACACACAGACACACACACAGACACACACACAGACACACACACAGACACACACACAGACACACACACAGACACACACACAGACACACACACAGACACACACACAGACACACACACAGACACACAGACACACACACACACACACACACACACACACACACACACACACACACACACACACACACACACACACACACACACACACACACACAGACACACACACACACAGACACACACACACACACAGACACACACATACACAGACACACACACACACACACACACACACACACACACAGACATCATCGCGAAAATAGTCAAAACGGATTCAGGGGACCTCAAAACGTAAAAATCCGTCGAAAACTCGAGGTCGAAAAAAATCATGATTCCTATACTTTCCTTATATCTGTATACAGATAGGAAAGTAAAAACGATATTAACTCTTTAATAGAAAATAAACAAGAAATAACCGATAACAGAGAAATTTCAAACATCTTCTTAAATTATTACTGTGACATGGGCATCAACCTTAGTAAAAAGATTTTAAAAAATAATTATGAATTTCAGGAGCCCAGTTTACAAAAAAACAGCAAAATTTCAAAAATTTACAAAAAACGACTTAATATTACAGATTGGTACATAAAAAATAAAATATCATGCTACTCAGATAATATATCAGCATTAATTATAAAAGATAATCATCTGACCCTAATTAAACCCCTCTTAAATATCATAAATCTTGTATTTACGACAGGTACCTATCCTAGTATTCTAAAAAACTATAATAACACCAGTATACAAAGCTGGAGACATGCAAAATAAAGAAAATTATCGACCAATTGCAATAACCAGCACAATAAATAAGCTGCTAGAAAAATGTATAAAACTAAGACTTAATAACCATCTAGAAGAAAATAATGTATTATCCGAAACACAGTTTGGGTTTCGTAGTAAGATGAGCACTGAAGATGCCATCCTACACCTGACTGAAAATATAACAAAAAAATTCAATGATGGTTACAAAACCATTGGCATCTTTATTGACCTTGCAAGGGCCTTTGACACTGTGGCGCACCCAATTCTGCTAAAAAAACTTGAGAATATTGGAATTAGAGGAGCTGAATGGAAACTATTTGATTCATACATCAATGGTCAAACACAACAAACAAAAATCGGTAACAATGTAAGCTGTAAGAAAAAAGTAGAATTGGGTCTGCCTCAGGGCATGGTCCTTGCGCCTCTATTATTTTCAATTTACATTAACTACCTTACAAAGATATTGCCAGAAAAAAATGGCCTCATTATCTGTTATGCAGATGACTCAGTTATATTAATTAAAGCTAAAACATGGACAGATACATATCGACTAGCAGAAAAATATATAACATTAGTTAAATTCTGGATGGATCAAAACCTTCTAACCCTAAATGAAAGCAAAACATATTTTGTACCATTTTCAATAAGTAATAATAATATTGATATCCAACCTGATATTAAAATACATACATACCAATGCTTTAATAAGGATACAATATGCAACTGCACAAAAACTATAAACTCAGCATCAAATATAAAATATCTAGGTGTTTATATTGACCAAAATCTTAAATATGATATTCATGTTCAATACATAACTAAGAAAATTAGGAAAACAATATATAAGTTTTACCAATTAAGGAAATTTATGACAAAAAACTGCTAAAAACTATATATCAAGCTTTAGTTGAATCTAGCATAAACTATGGTTTAAAAATTTGGGGAAGTACGTGTGGTAATATCTTACAGAATTTAACACTAACACAAAAATATATTCTCAAGATAATAAATAAAAAACCAAAAAGATATTCATCTGAAAGCTTATTCACTGAGAGTGGAGCTCTATCAATAAGAGAACTCTACATAAAAAGCACCTTAAACTATATGAAATATAAAAATACTTATAAAAATTATATTCAACATAATATTAACACTAGATCCATCACCCAAGAAGATCATATCTATACAAACAGGGTTGAATTCCTTGCCTGCCAGAGGCATGTATCTTTTACTGGACCAAGACTCTTTAACATGTTACCGTCACATATCAAAAATATATATATAATAGAAAAATGTTTAATGTAAAAGCTTCTCACTGGATCAAAGAAAACAGTGAGACAATAATTACAAAGTTGCCTTTTTTAAATTAAATTATTTTAAAGTTATAAATTAAAAAAAAAAGAAAAATAATATCTATATAAATTATCAGTTATCTGGATGGTTAGTATTTCGTCTTTGGTATCACTCAGCTGGCGGAGACTGACGCATCAGCCTATAATTGGGTTCTGACAAGATTATTTTTATTTATTCTATAATTATTAGAAAATTATTTTGTATTTTATATGTATTATTATGTTAAATTGATAGGTAAGTATCCCAATGACTGTGGATGTACTCTCGACAAGTCACTCGTGACTTAGAGAATCCATTCCAAACAATGTTCTGTTAATGTACTACTTAAATTATGTAAAATAAACGATTTGAATTTGAGTGTAATGTGTTGGCACGGACCATTTGCCGTATGTACTAAATGTGGGTTGTTAAAGCTATATGTTTGTTTTGCTTATATGGTCTAATACTACTTTATAAAGTTAGATTGAAATATCTTGTAAGAATAAATAAATTTTGTTTAATTTTATAAAGTGAGAAGACTCCTCTCCTGTTATTACAAGCACTCAACAAAAATTGATTGATTGACTTTATAATAGGTGATTTAAATTACAAAATCAATTAATTTTTTTATTCTTTTCAGCAATAATTAAAGACATTTTAAAAGTAGGAAGGTCACAAATTTGTGATGTTATCTTAACCGAATCAAATATTGGAGGCAATATCAATATAAATAATGTTAGTAAAGAACATTTTACTATTTTTAAAAAACCAGGAAGTTCGTTTGCTTATTTAGTAGACTCTAGTAAAAATGGTACATTTATAAATGGCATAAGGACTAAGAAAAATGAACTGACAATTCTCAAGAACAAAGATAAAGTATCCATTGGACAAAAAAGGCCATTTAGTAAGTTATTGATTCTTAAACAAATCTTATTCAGTATTGTATGTAGGATGAGTTATAATTTTGTTTATTTTTAGTATACTGTTTTGAATCACTTCTATCTGAAGATCTGCCAGATACTTTGACCCCTTTAAGTATTTTAGACTCTACACCAAAATACACAGAAGTGTTACCTGTATGGGGACGTCTTCTTTCATGTTTGTCAGATTTGGAATCTTATGGTAAGAACATAAATTACAAATAGGTCTTTAATTATCATTTCTAAATAAAAAATAATGAGGCCTCTAGACAAAAATATTTTTTCTTCATACATCAGAGCAGCTAACATTTTACTACAAGTCCAGGAGGCAGCTTTGCAAATGAAAAAATTATTTCATCAAATCTGATTTATAGTTTAAATGTTTCTTTTCAAGTATTATTTACAAACTTAAGCATCAACTGTGTCAGTAGTGGTGGAGCTAGTTGTGGGGACATTTGGAACATCTAAAAAAGTAAAAAAAAAAAAATTTAATCAAACTGAAAATGTAATGTTTGAATAATACAGAAATTAAAAATAAACAGCTACATTCACAATGGTAGAGATGGGAAGCACATGTGCCTGTCATACAAAATGTTTGACACATGTTGATGTATGGTGTACCCCTACAATTTTATTGTACTGGCAGTACATCCACCATTACAAGGCTGCATTTGTTGTAAGGCTAGAAACTTTTGGATTACTACTGCCAACACAGTTTTGACACACTTTAATCGAAATCTTTCCATAGTTTAGATGATTACTTGGATCCCTCAGAGCAAGTTTCATTGGGATATCTATTTGTATTTTCATTTTCCGTTTCTATTGGGAGCTTTGTAATATAACAGGTTATGTTCTCTTTTGTAGCCTCAAAACATTTTTTCCTGATGGTTTCTGAATCTAGAAAGGTAGATTTTGCAAAAGCTTTGTCTTGTTCTTTATTATTAGATCTCTTACTGCTAAAAGCGACTGGCCTGAATGAAAAACTAATTCTGGTACATCGGGATTACTGTTAAAATAGTTTGCACAATACTTTTTTAGACCGGAATTAATCAAAATTATTTTGAATGCAGTAATGTTTTTTTGCAGCTAATCTCTTCTGTGACATCTTTAAAAGTTCACAGCACTTCTCCAGAATATTATTTATTTATTTATTCGATTAAGCTCTACAGAAAATAAATTCCAAATGGCTTACAGAAATTATATACAAAAATTACAAAGATATAAAAATACAACTAACAATATACATAAAGCCCGTTTCAGTCCTGTTCACTGAAATTGTAATTGGGAACGAGCTTTCCCATAACTGCATTCGTGTCATAATTAGTCCTATGTGTTAAGCAAACTGGCACATGAAGCCTTTCTGAGTACTGTATCAACTTTTGTACATAGCCCCCTGACATTTTGATACAGGATTGCTATAGACTGTTTTTTTATTGGCGTCTCTGTATGTTTCGTCTTTGAGAAAAATTTGTTGAAGTATTTTGAGTCACTTGTTTTTGGGGAATAAATTGAGAGTTATTTTATTTAAATAAGTCTACATAACACACATCAGGCCAAAAATCAGTCGAAAGGTATTTTTCACCTAGATGTTCTGGTACTCCCAATTTGAAAGTCGCTCTGCGAGGATTTCTAAACTTAGAAGGAAGTTTTTCACATACATACACATACACATTGCTGAAGTAAGGATTCAAGAGAGACAAAATATCTTCTGGTGCAGTATCCAGGCTTAGATTAGAAAGATATGGCCATGTGAGTTTGGTTAGCCTCTCTCCTATGTTCAGATTGGCAATTTTTAAGTTGGGCTTAGATGGTCCTGTACAGATTTTAGAGGAGGATTTTAAACTAGTATCAGATTCAATATTGGGTGTTCTTACATGGTGAACTGGAATTGTATTGAGTGTTGAGAATAATGTCCCTAATTGACTGTTTTGAACAAACTTGATGAAGTCAGAGTTACTTTCTTTTATAGTTTTCAACACGGAATCCATTTTGAAACAGAGTTGTCGAGTCAATATTATCATAGCTGGTTTCTAAAGGAGGATGAACAGTTAAGTCTGATTTACTCATTTGACTGACCTTTTTATCCTGCTTAATTCATTTTCTAGATAATTAATTTTAGTATCGCTATTATTCAACTGAGAAATTTTGTTTAGTCTTTTAATTCTCTTTGCATTTGTATAATTTTGATATCTGTCTGAGGTAATCTTGGATTCCTAATATACAGTCTGAACAAAAATATAAAAAAGATCTCGACATTAACACAAGTACTCTTATCTCTGATGGTCTGATTCCGGAGCAATTTTTACATATACCATTTTTCGTAAATTACAAGGATTGCCAAATAGTTCATTCTTGTCCTCCTTTTGTACACAGGCTGGATCACATTTGTAGCATTTAGCCATCTTAACACAAAAGTACTAAGTGGAAAGTGATCAATAAAAAAATTTATATTTCAGTTGTGAGTTCACGTGTTTTCAAATTAATTAAATCCGGAATAAAAACAGTTGTCTACACTTGCAGAGACACTAACAGCCGTATGCATAGTCGATCGCCAGCGATTCGCCAGCGGATCGCTGCTGATACTGCCGAGATGAATCGCTGACGACTTGCTGGAGATTGTCACCGGCATGTCATCTCTCGCAAGTTTTTATGTTTTATAGAAAAAATTAGTTTTCATGTTCTTTTATGGGGAAAAATTTGATATTCGAAAAGTGAATAACAGTTTTCGTTATCCGAGAGAAATTTTTTCATGCGATATCTGACAATTTTTTTTAATAATTTTTATTATTTCGATTAATTTTTATTAATTTTTATTAATTTTTATTAATTTTTATTAATTTTTATTAATTTTTATTAATTTTTATTAATTTTTATTAATTTTTATTAATTTTTATTAATTTTTATTAATTTTTATTAATTTTTATTAATTTTTATTAATTTTTATTAATTTTTATTAATTTTTATTAATTTTTATTAATTTTTATTAATTTTTATTAATTTTTATTAATTTTTATTCATTTTTATTCATTTTTATTCATTTTTATTCATTTTTATTCATTTTTATTCATTTTTATTCATTTTTATTCATTTTTATTAATTTTTATTAATTTTTATTAATTTTTAATAATTTTTATTAATTTTTATTAATTTTTATTAATTTTATTAATTTTTATTAATTTTTAGAGTTCTTGATTATTCATCGGGTGTAGAAAAAATAGCGTATGAAACTCTTAAATAATGGTAATTAATACACTTGCATAAACCATACGAAACTCGCCTTCGGCTCGTTTCGTATCCAGGTTAAATGCTCGTGTATTAATAACCATCATTACATGATTGTTGCATAATATACTATTATGCTTTCAGTTATATTATATTGTTATTCTAATATGTGTATTTTACAGTGCCTGTTAATATGAATGTACACCAAACATTTAATCTGTAGGCACAAAATAATAAAATGTTACATATAAAATAATACAATAAATATTAATATAGCATACTCTCCTGCGCTGCTAATGCGAACAAACAATTTCTGCTTCTCGTAAATCAGAAATACTCGTATACACCTATGCACAATATTGTTTGACAACCATTACCTAAGCACCTCTAAAATATGGCAACAGTGGCTGAGGTGGTTTGTGGCTAGATATCGTTCAGGCAGTGTATATATGTAAGAGGTGACTTCGGTATTAATTTTTCTGTGAATATACATATAAAAAAAATGAGATAAATCATTACCCCTCTTTTGAAATTCCGATTCTGGAGGTTCCCCTTAGGGTATCTAAATATCAAAATTTAAAAAAAAGCGTGTGGAAATAGGTGAGGTGAGGTCGCCATATGCACTACACTGAGGTGACAACTTATGGCCTATATATATATATATATATATATATATATATATATATATATATATATATATATATATATATATATATATATATATATATATATACGTAGCCAAATACAAAAGCGAGGCCCGATGTAGTCAACACACCACCCGAGGCCCTCCTGAAGGAGTGATTTTTTGAATATAAATTTTAATGTTTTAGAATGTACTAATAATGTTAAATTATAACGCCACAAGAGGGGTAATATATTTCTAAAATTTAAACATACATGTTTGCAACGTGCATGCGAGTCCCTTAACAATGTTTAACTGACATGAGAGGCCTTCTGTTTATAAATTACTTTTTCAATATACATACGAGTCCCTGCGACGTTGTCAAGATGGGCCCATAAAATTTGCCCTTCAAAAGGTTTGACTCGAAGAATGTTTACAGATCTTTACAACAAATCTCTTTTCTATGAGTTCGCGCGTATAGTGGTATAATAGGTTTGTTCCAACACGTGCGAAAACGGTAATATTATGATACAAAGTATGCGGTCTGTACAAAAATTGTTTACAGCGTTTGACTTGTTCCGAAATATTATCGATTCCACTTTGTGCGTTTTTAGAATAATCTATTTTACGGAGAGAAAAATGTTATGTAGAGAAGTTATAGGTATTATAGAGATGCCTATAAAAGGAGATATATTATATCTTTATTTGTTTGTTTTGTTGTATTCTAAATAAAAAAAAAAGCTTGGCGAGGGTATTAATTTAAACTATATCATCCGTTTAAAACACTAAATCTCTGACTTTAATTATTGTTTTTGCCCTCTAACATAAAACATTAACAATAGTAATACAGACAAAACAAAACTATAATTTTAATCGTGAATCTGTCTCGCTCAACGCTGGGTTCCAATGATTTAATTACGCTAATTTGACATCAGCACAGATTTTGCCAAAATGAGGAATACAGATTTTTATTTTTACAGAGGGTGAGAGGAATAATTTATATTGCCAATTATCTTTGTCTAGAAGATTAAGTGAAAATATAGACATTTAAAATTTTAAAATATATTTTTTTTAATTTTAAGTTAAAGCAAAAATATAAAATTATTCAAAGAAATGTTTCTAAAGTTGGCTTTAGAAAAATTTACGCATGTCGGAGCATTAAATTATTTTTCTTTTTATGTTTTATTTTGAATTTAATTCAGAATCGTTCGTAGTTATTACGGACATGGGACATGAATCGTATCTTTATATTTGTCGATCATGGCCTACTTCAGAAACATTTTTTTTAGATAACTTTTTTTGTAAATAAAGTTCTGTGTTCCGCTGGAACCACTGTTTCAAAATTTGTTTTAGTTTTT